CCCAAAAAATGCTGCTGGAAGGCCAATAAGGACTCAGCTTTTTCAGCAGATGTATTATGCCTCAACTCGGTGATTTAGTAGCTGTAAATGACGAAATGGTGTTGCGGTGTCTCGAGGCCCGACTGGCTTTAATCATTACCAAAGCAGCTGCAGATTTGGGTGATGTCATGTCAGCGGATGGGACCACGATGACACGGTACATTAGCGTTCAAACTTTTTTCTTCTTCTCATGTTTGATATAGTTGGACATGTTTTTTAAGCATAGTCTTAAAACATGTGATGTGGAGTTTAAGCACAAATGAAGAAGGTTTGTGCCAAATTTCATGGAAATCCATCCAAAGGTTCTGGAGACATTTTCCCTCATAACAACTTAAAGTCTTTATTTGTGATTTTTCACACTTAAATGTAATATAAATCAAGTCTATCCTCTGAAAATAACTTTGTGAGTCATGACTGTCTACAATGGGTGTAACACCCGAGTCCCACTGTCTGTGATGTTTTCAGAGTTTTCAGAGTCCTATCTTCACTTTGTTTACATCGCCAGGACGGCCGGCTGACTCCTCCCCTCGTGTATAAAAGTTGTTTAATTGAGGGACTAGAGAAAAGAAGAATAACATACTGTACTCACTGCTTAACTGTGTTTCTAGATCACGCTCATTTCAGGTAAATTTACATGCAGTGTGAAGATACCAGCATAATAAAGATCACTAGCATTAGCATGCTAACACAACAATGCAGCACAAGTTGTTTTGGTTTCATGCTGGTGCTCAAGGGCGACATCTGCTGGATCAAAAAATTGCATGTAAAGCCTTTAAGTCCTCCTTGAGTTGCCAGTAGATGAAAAGTCAAAAGATAATATGAGTCTCTGTGGTTAATCTTCTGTGTTACATGAATGTTTGTACCAATGTTTGTTCCAACCCGTTCAGACGTTTTTGAGATATTCAAATGTTTGACCTGCTTTGGTATTCGATGAAAAGTTTTTTCTTCTGAGGAATTTGACATTGTTTACAAACAGCTAAATTCAATCCACAATACACTGCTTTTTGGTTCACTTCTCTTGTTTGGTCTGGATCGCGTTCTCACCCACAACGAGCCGGACTCTGGTGAACTGAGACTCCTCGGTTTTAAGTGGACTAGAGTTTGGTTCTTTGGTCCGCACCAGAGTTTGTTTGGTTAAGGAGATAATGTTTCAGTATGAAACAGTACATTTTGCTCCTGTTATTTCCATTTCCATCTATATTAAAAAAGGAAATAATCTTCAGAAAAGGTAAAGGGTGTAATAGTGGATTTGAAGTGTCTAAAATTTAAATTCTGGTTGGCATTTTTTTGTTTTGGATTTTTGAAAATTAAAAAGAATCACAGAATCGAAAAAGACCAAGTACTTTGAGTTTTCTGTCGTATCTTTCATCACAAGAAGTACACTGATAAATATCAGTGTACTGATATGAACATCATATACACAAGTAAATATGTGTTTTACTCAAAGCCACCAAAGTCCACCTAATAGTTGCACTAGAGTTTTCAGGCCAGCGAGATCACCAAAGTCACCGTGATTCATCTCCTGGGGACGATAAATCTTTGCACCAATGTTGATGAAAATCTATCGGCAAGATTTTACCCTTGACCAGAGTAAACCTCGAGGTGCGTTTACATGTGAAGTCAAAGATCCCTGAGCTGTTACAATAAGTCCTCTGGAGAACATGAACGTTTGCAACACATTTGATTTCAGTCCATCCAAAAGTCGTCTGGACATTTCACAAAAAAACAACAGCAAACGTTCACCTCATGCTGCCCTGAGATGAAAAGGATTTCGTATTAAAAAGGTTATTAAAATTAATCGGTAACATAAAATGATGTACCACATTAGACTTGATCCGGACCAGAGTGCAGGGCCAGCTGTCAGTCCTGCAGCCAGCTAGCCTTGAGCTATAGCAGAGGGCTTAAAATGAAATAAATCATCAGTGTTTGTATTCACTAATAATCTAATCAGGCTCACATGAAGAGAAAAAAAACCTGTGAAAACACAGTTCCAGAACCTGAGAGGAGGAGGAGGTGTCTGACAGCACACATGACTGACACAAACAGTGAGGGAGTCGGACAGATGAGAGCCACGGGCGCTGTGGGGGGGGGGGGGGGGGTGTTTGAGGTCAACACATCGCCTGTGCATTGAGTGTGGCCCGGCAGCTGTATGCATAGGGGAGCCTTGGCCTCCTGCTCTGCATGTCAGGGGGCTGTGATTAATGACCTGCAGGCCTTGCTCTTTACCCCCCCTCCACCACCCCACAGAAGTCACTCATTTAGCCAATGGACACAGTCGGAAGAAAGACAGGCCGCGGGGGTGGGGGGGTTACAGTCGAGGGCACGTACATGTGAAATAAAGCAATTTCCCTCTTTTACAAAACACCACTTTTCCAGGCCGTGTGTGATTCCAGGGTGGGGAGCGATGATTTTCTAAGATTACCGCTGTGCCTGTGCAGCGTCGAGGCTGAGCAGTGCCCGTGCCTGTGTACCGGGTTCCCAGCTTGTCAGGCAGCTGTCGAGGAGTGATTTATGACCGCTAGACTCCAACCTGTCTTCACTGCCAGCTCAGTATTGTTACAACTGACAGCTAATGAGGCCAGACATGCTTTCAAGCAGAGCACTTAACAGGACTTCAATCTTCCCCCTCGTCACGACTACCATTTTTTTTTTTTGCACTCTCGCACACACAGCAGCAGCCCTCCTTTCTCTGTGCCTTGCCTTGTTCTCCGTCTTTTGCTGTCGCTGGAAATATCTGACAGGCACTGAAAAGAACTTCTGCCGACCCGAGAGAGATGTTTCTCTGCCGGGAAAAAGGGAATCTTTCAAACACACATATAATCTAATAATCAAGCCCCTTTCACATGGCTTTAAAGAAACAGAAACACGCCTGCTCCTGACACCATTCTTCATGTGTTTACTCTGCTAGCTTAGCTTAGCTTAGTTTAGCATAATGATTGGAAACTGGGAAACAGCTTTTTAGGTTGTCAGCTCTTTATTTTTAATGCATGTTCCCAAGAAGAACTCGGATGTGTTCTGATCAGATCGGGCCGCATGGGATCTCAGAATTGATCGAGAATTGATCAGGATGGCGTTAAGTCGGCGTACGTCTGGGCGACAAGAAAGCAGCATGTGTCCACTGTCCATACAGGAAGCTAATTCAGTCTTTATAAATGTGTTTTTTTTGGAGGTTCTTTGCAGACTTTCACACAGAATCGACTCCTAAAGTGTTGATTTTTCATTGTGTTTGGTTACTTTGTCTTTTCAGCGTGTCTGTTTTTATCATTAAAGGTTTCAGCCGGTGGAACTGTGAGATCTGTGACCCGTTGCACCTCTGGTTACAAGTTATAGGAAAGTTGTTTTGACCATGAAAGAAACGCTCCAAGTAGCCTGATCATTTAAATATAGCCTAACACTGTATCCTTGATTCATGTGTTACGACATAAATACATGTTGAACGTTGCTTTCCTGCCTGCAGACAGATCGAGTATTGAGTCTCTCGATTCAGAATGAATTCAAACAAAAGGAACTACGAGAGTGACATCTTTAACTGCAGAGCGACTCAAAGTGAAGTTTTACTGTCACAACGGGGTTTTTTTGCAGAACAGCTACTTCTGAACAAACAGTCTCCATATCTCCCAAACCTCTTCTGTCAGCTAACAAGAAACAAGAGGCAGAATAAAAACAGAGTCTGTTTCCCTCCTGAACCTTTGACTCCTGGTTTTCTTGTCAGCTGTGATTAATGACATGCTACGCTAACTAGCTGTTAGCTCGCATCCCCGGCTGCAGCAGGAGGATTGTCTCCTGGAAGCTCCAATGAGGCCTGACAACTCTTCCCCCTCTCCTGCACTGATGGTTCTAATAAATGCTGCAGCAGCGCCCCCTGGTGGGTGAGGAGAGAAAGTGGAGACAACATCAAGAACTCAGATTTTTTTTTTTTTTTTTATTGAACCTTTATTAATCAGGAAAGAAACTCATCCCTTTTTCAAGAATGTCACACAAACAACTAGCATCCACACATACTAAGAAATACATTATTAGACATTAAGAGACACAGATTAAAGCAAATGTTAGACAACATCGCCCACAAACACATCAGAGAGAACATCTGCAGCCAGATGTGTCCGCCTCCAGGTAAAACATTTTTATAATTTAACCACTTGTTTCTATTTCTTTTCCTGCTCTTACCTTCTTATTGCTGTTATCTTTTGATTTGCTTTTATCTCTTTTAGTTTCTTACATCTTTTTAAATCTTTGGTCCTCTTGGTCTCAGTTGTTGGGTTCTTGTGATGGTTCTTATGATGGTTCTTATGATGGTTCTTGTGATGGTTGGGTTCTATATGTCTGTTGTGTATCGTGCACTTTGGGTTCTTTTCTGTTGAATTGTATTTAATTATTTTTAGTATTTGTTATGTTCTTGTTGTTGTTTATGTTCTTCTGTGTTTGGTTTAGTTTGTTCTTGTTTTTGCTGTTTGTCAAAGCACTTTGTAAACCTGTGTTTTTAAAAGGTGCTATATAAATAAAGTTATTATTATTATTTAACATCCGCTTAAAATCCTCCAATGAGAGCAGCTCGTTTAGTCTCAGCTCTTGTTGTAACTGGTTTCTGGTGTTGACGGGGGGGGGGTGTCACCTGAGGAAAAAAACACACCTGAGAGCAGCCTTCATTCTCCCGCTGGACTCTGCTGCCCTCTGCTGGACGCCTCTTTCTTTACACTCTGTTTAATATAAGTTTTATAAGTCTACACAGTTTGACTCTTGCATGACTGGTGATACAAGAAGTTGGACACAGTGGAGATGATTACGCGCAAGTTTTACGCAGAGTTCAAACTTGTTGCTGCTTCATTCTGATGTGTTTGTTTGAAAACTTTCGCTGTTTTATTTTAGTGTATGTGCGTGATTCAAACCTGTGTGTGAGCTCCGGTGGCAGGCCCCGTCTTCTTCCCTCCCCCTTTCCCGGCTCCTCCTCTCCTCTGCCGGGCTTCTCGCTCCAATCGAGAGATCTCTTCCCAAAACTTTCCGTGCCAGCAGGGCTTCCTGAAGCTTCTGTATTCTTCTGTGTGTAGCTCAAGGGGGCGACAGCAGAAACCAAATGGAGGACGTGTGAAATATGTACAAATAAAAACATGGTAGTGGTGACCGAGCAGGCGGACGGACCCCTCCTCACTCCGTTACTGTCCCCGCAGCAGCAACTCGTGAACAGGGACTCCCGAGGGACGAGGCCCGCGTAAGTTTGGATGAGATGGAGGGGAAAGGGCCCCGGTCTGCTTTACACATTTAGGAAAGGCGGTTCAGGCCCAGTGCATTGTGATCAGAATCAGAATCTGTTTTCTTTTTTTTAAGTTAAAGGGTCGTGCTGAGTTTTTGAGCGCGTATACGTGGCACAGTTTGTGTTAATTTGCCTTCAGAATCTGCAAAAGATTCATGATCTGCTCATAAATGATCTGCCATAGTGAATGTTTCATGCAGGTATTATGTGTTCATATCACTCCCGCACAGTTACGGTGTTATAACGACACGTAAGACTGTGTTGTGTAACTTTATTGTTGCTGCAGGATGTTTCAATAACCGTGACTTCTGGTGTGATGTGTGCAGGTCTGAAGGGTCTGAGAATGGAGGGGAGAAGAGACAGGGGAGGAGAGGAGGGTCACCTGCAGGCCTCCAGCTGTGTCTGGACCCAGATTCAGAGCCTCCAGAGAGCAGGAGGAAACCAGTAGGCATGAGGTGAAGGAGCTTAAACTGTCTGTAGAGAGGCTGTAGTTAACACCAGCAGCAGAGAGGATCTCTTCTCATGATGTCTTTTATCTCCTCTTTAAAGCTAAAACACATCCATCTATATCTGTCATCTGGCTCCTCCAGTGCAGGATGTGCTAGTTTCCTCTGTTTGAAATCACTGTTAATTAAATATTTTAAAGTTTGGGACTTTCAGATGGACAGGAAAAAGTCTTTTGAACTGATCGTGTTGGATTCAGACGCACTGAGTCGAACCTTTTCCCCTCTTTCTGTCAGTAAATCAAGAACGTAATTAGTCAGTTTTGTGGTTGATATTTGTTTAATCTTTTTATGTAACAGGAGGTCACATTGTGAGCATGTGAACAAGAATAAACACACGCTGTTTCACCGCAGAGTCAAACCAGCTTCACATTCGTCGCACATAATGGGCTAGAAGTTTAGTTTTACTCTTTAAAAGAACTACATTCAAATATTTTTAAGTACTTTAATGAGTGGTTTCATTTTAGATTCTTTAAGATTGTTAATCTGAACTTCTGCTTTTTGGTTTGATATAAACTGTGTCACTACTTATATGCAAATTTGGAAATTTATGGCATATTAAAGGTGACATATCCTCCTCCTCTTCTTCAGTGTAAATACGTCTCTGAGCTCCTCAAAACGTGTGTGAAGTTTCTTGTTCTAAATCCACTCTAAACCTGTATTTGATAATGTCTATAAACCCCTCTATTTCAGCCCTGCTCAGAACAGGCTGTTTCTGTGTCTGTACCTTTAAATATGTAAATGAGCTGTGTCTGACCACGCCCCCTCTCTGGAAGGGCTTGGGTGTACTCTGATCTTTCTCGCTCCATGTCCTATTGTTTACGGTGAGAAGGCAGACTCAGAGGGCAGAACAAACACCTACCTGTGGGAGTGTCACCCACCTGGGGAGGGGCTACTGCCCTTTGTGATGTCATGAAGGGAAAATCTCTAAACGGCCTGTTTGAGCACACATTTTCTGAAAAGTGGAGCAGGCAGAAGACGGAGAGGATGGACTTTTCTCATGATTGAGGGGTTTGTAGACGGACTAGAGACACATTATGATCCCGTCTCGCCCTTTAGTCGTGGTAATAACGCCTCTATTACTACCTGGGAAGACGGTACAGAGGTGGGATCACTAAGTCCGACCATTACACCTTAGGGACGTCCATATGGCCCCTTGAAACGGCGTCTGAATGTGTAAAGAGGTGTACTGGAGGGACTTAGTGATCCCCCCTCTGTACCGCCGTCAGAGCTAGTAAGAGAGGTGTTACAGGGGGCGGAGCTAGGAGAACAGCGCTGTATGCAAACCTCACCTGCAGCGTGCTGTTAATCACTTCTCCTGAACCCTGAGGCAAAATGACAGCTATAAAAAACAAAATCGCCTGGTTGGAGTTTGCAGCTCGTACAGAGGGACGTCTTTTAACCTTCAGTCTGTTTCATAACCACATAAAAAGCGACGTACATCAGAGTAAGTACAACACAAGCAAGGATCTAGAAAAAAGGGAACAATGTGAGTAAGAGCAAACAATCAGCTTTGAGTCTGATTGGACACACAGGTGCTGACAGGAAGTGACCAGAGGCAAAGCACAACATTGAGGGCAGTTCTTGAGAGCTCTAATCAGTATAGAAACCATCTTATAAGTCGTCGTTATCAAACAAAAACCATCGTCATTACCATCATCATCATCAATAATATGGAGACCATCATCATTAAGTTAGTAGGTATTCATGAAAGAGCTGGGTCTTTAGCTTTTTCTTAAAGGTGCAGAGGGACTCTGCAGATCACATGGAGTTGCATGACCAAAGTGCTGTTTTTACTGATCTCACTGTTGCTGTGTGAGCAGTCCTGAAGTGACCACAGCTGACGGCTAAAGGACGCACACACACTTGTTATGATTTACTCAGGAGACGTGAGTCACACCTCTTCAGTGACCTACATTAGCTGATAAGTGTCACCTGTCCTCCTCCCTCAGGTGTTAAGTTGCTGCTCAAACAATAACACAGACCTTTTGATTTTGCCAGATTAAAACCTGTGGAGCAGCTTTCACCGGTGCAGAGTCCCAGTGACTATGAGACCAAGTCTGACAGGAAGAAAGGCCAGTCCAGCCACGTAAGGAGAAAACACACAATCACACACAATGTCACAATATTGCAGTTTCCTTATCAAAGCTAAACGTCCACTCTGCTTTTTCACAGATATCTAAGACAAACACACACTATCACAAGTTATTTAAGGAGGTCAGCAAAGACGAGACCCTCAAACAGAGTAAGTGTCCTTGGGTCGTCTTTTCATGTGAATATAAGGAGAGAGAATGTTTTTCTTAAGGTGGAGCTTTTTGTTTTTTTGTGCAGGCTACACGTGCGCCCTGCAGAGAGACATTTTATATCAGGGCAAAATGTTCGTCTCTGATAACTGGATCTGTTTCCACTCCAAAGTCTTCGGCAGAGACACCAAGGTATCTCCTCGTCCTGTCCCTTTAAGAACTGGTGGTGTTGAAGTCAAGACCAAGACTGACAGAGACCAAGATGTACCCGAGACCAGAGTGCTCTGAGACTGAGACAAGACCAAGACCAAAATAGGGCGAGTCCGAGACAAGACCAAGACATTTAAGGGGTGAGACAGAGTAAGGACGAAGACCAAGGCAGGGTAGACTGAGACAAGATCAAGACCTAGCCAAGACCAAGACCAGACTGACCGAGACCAAGATGTACCCGAGACCAGAGTGCTCTGAGATCGAGACAAGACCAAGACCAAAACAGGGAGAGTCCGAGACAAGACCAAGACATTTAAGGGGTGAGACCGAGTCAAGACCAAGACCAAGGCAGGACTAAGACCAAGACATACCCGAGACCAGAGTGCTCAGAGACCAAGACAAGACCAAGATAGCCAATCAGTGGTGGTCTTGACCGGTCTTGATTTAGAATCCGGAGTCCACCCAGTCTGAGACCAAGACAAGACCGAGTACAATGCTTTTGATTACGAGACGAGACCTAGACCCTTAAAAAGTGGTCCAGAGTCCGGTCTTGAGACTAAGACCGGTCTTGAGTACAACAACACAAAAAACAGTTTCTGTGTCCTCACCTTCTTCTTCAGGTTTTCAGGTTTTGTTTTCTCTCACCTCCAGATTTCCATCCCCGTGGTGTCGGTAACGTTCATCAAAAAGACTAAAACGGCTCTGTTGGTGCCGAACGCCCTCGTGATCGAAACGACGAGTTATCAGGTGAGAGGAGCTCTGACACGGTCGGTTATCTCTCTGGATATAAACATAAAAACTCTGATTCTGATTGGCTGTCTTCCAGCATGTCTTTGTGTCTTTCCTGTCTCGAAACACCACCTACAAACTTCTGAGGACCATCTGCATCCACCTGGAGGTAAGACACGCCACAAACCTCTGCTCTTGTGAATGAATTGGGATTTGACACAACATTTACTGTTGATTTGACACATTTCTTATATATATAAATTAGGGATGGGAATTTACAGTAATCCCTGTAATCGATTACCCGAATTCCCCAATGAACGAGTACTCGAGTACACGCAGATTATTATTATTTTTTTAACTGTAAACAAAAAAAAGGGTCCGTCGGACACCGACCTCCCGGACCGGTATTGTAGACTTTATGCCTGTAAAATGACATAAACATCCAATATTTAAACATGAATATAAATAGATAACCAACAACAGAAAGCGATTTCAATTTCAACAACATTGCTAACAACGACGTCACTAACAGGGCTAGCAAATGACGTGATGCGAGACTGCCTATTTTCTCCTTGTGCTTTAAGCGCATGTGGTTAAGCATCAAACTAGTATTCCTATGGTATGCAAGTTTAACACATATCTTGCACTGCACATTAACTTAATCGTTTTTGTCGAAGTACTTTCAGACCTCACTTTTCTTGACTGACATGTCGCAGCTGTAGCAGACGGTTCTGTATTTGTTGTGCTTTTGCTTTCGGTGTAATAATATGGTCCTAGAGAGTTGCCGAGTTGTTTTTGCTGAAATCTGGCTCGGTGTGTACTAAAGCTGAAGCCGTGGCCGGAGAAGTCATACGTTTGTATCCCGTTAATTATTTTCAAACCTAGTATATTCAGTTAGCCGAAAACAAAAAGCTGGGTCACGCACGTAACGCTGTATGAGTTCAGCGCTTGCACAGGGTCGCGAGTAACGAAATGTTACTTGAATAATGGGGTCAACGGCAAGTACTCGAGTACTCGAGTACTCGAGTACTCGTACCCGTCCCTTGTATAAATGTTTGTTGTGTTTGATTCCAGGTGGAGAAGACATGCAGCAGCCCCACTAATTCCTCGTGCGAGAACAGCTTCAGGGTGGATTGTCCGTCGACGCTTCCTCTGGTCAGTGTTTTTGTACAGCTATGTACCGCCCTACCACGAGGAGGTTTTCTAAATATTTTTCCTCTGAGATGAAAGATGTATAGAATAGCTTTGTTCCCATAGCAACATCTCTGCATGTGGTATGTTTTTTTTTTTAATCTTCCCGTGTGTGTGCGCCACAGGACTTCTCCGACCTGGACGGGGTCGTTCAGCAGAGACGGCAGGAGATGATGGAGAGCAGCAGCTCCGGCTCGCAGACTCCAGACTACGACAAGATCACAGGTGTGTGTGTGCTCCAAACCTCAACACTTTACCACCCTGTGTTCTTCTTCTTCTTCTCTCCATATTTGCGTAGGGTGTCGGGTGTCACTGCGGCTCAGACAGTCTTTGGTTTGCAAATATTGGGAGAGAAGGCAAAGTGAAATTTGAGCCGGTCAGATGTTGTTAAAGCAGAGACGATGACTTATTGTTTATTTGAGACAGTTTTTCTTCTGACTGTCCCGAGCTAACGACTCCGTCAGGACTTCTCGTGCTTCTTGTTCGGGATAATATTTGCTTTGCAGGAGGCAGATGATGAAAGTCACACGTTTCTCTCTCTGTGTTTATCTGGGCAGACTTTCCCAACACGTTTCTGAGTGCAGTGAAGAGCGGAGAGGTTTCGGTCCATGCTGACATCCACCTCCAGGCTCCCAGCCAAATCCACGGAGCGGCCCTGAATAACGGTAGATACAAGGGCGGCGTTTACAGAAGAACGGTGCTGTGGCGTGAGCCGGTATGTCTGACTAGACAGGGTTAGGGTCCAGGGGGGTTGGCCAGGTTGGCCATTTTTAAGGTCAAGCAGTTATCTGGACCTTTTTTTTACCAGAATCCCACTGTGACATCACAAGAAGAGCACATTTGAAACAGAGCATTTTTCTCTGTGTTGTAAAACTTATGCAGACCACAAACAAAGGACTGGATGGGTTTATTTCACATTTTGTGGGTCAGTAGACACTCAGGTTACCCAAATATATGTTCAACAACACAAAGTGGATTTTTCATAATATGTCCCCTTTAATGTTCCAGCTCAGTTACTTAAACTTTTATCTACTAAAAAACCCTTTTTGTCACGTTTTCTTCCTGTAGCGTCGCCTAAAGCACCGCTCAAAGAGAGACCCTCCCAGCACATGTCGTTACACACCATCCTGCTCATCTATCTGTTTCTGTGAGTAACCTTTCATTCTGTGCAACACGAGAAGACGCAGCTCTCAATAGTTTGACATCTCACATGATCCGGGCGTGTTAGCGATTGTTCTCTGTGTTTGTTGTGCTCCTTTCCATGTGTCTCGCTGTGTTTGCGTTTTCCTCACAGAGTCGGCGTCCTCGTCCTGTCCTCGTGTTACATGGCTTTCAAGATCGTGGCTCTGGAGCAACGTTTGAACTCGCTGGTGTCCATGGGGGAACACGTTCACAATGAGTAAGACACAGATTCTCTCTCATATGTTGAGTTCCTTTTCTCACTTTGTTCCGTTCATGACTCTGTGCAAACCTTCTGTTGTAGAAACTCGGTGAGCCAGAGGTCGCAGAGCGAGATGAACGCCGAGATCTACGGCGAGCTGTCAAACAACTTGTTCAAGCTAGAAAAGGTTTGTAGAAGAGCACAATCACTTCAGTGTTTCCCGTTTAGTGTTTTTCTCCGCTGATGGTTTCATCTGCCCAAATGTAGGGTTGTAGGACAACTACAATTCTACAATTCACTTAGCAGACGCTTTTCTCCAAAGCGGCGTACATCAGAGAGTAAGAACAACACAAGCAAGGATCTAGAAAAAAGGGAACAATGTGAGTAAGAGCAAACGATCAGCTTTGAGTCTGATTGGACACACAGGTGCTGACAGGAAGTGACCAGAGGCAAAGCACAACATTGAGGGCAGTTCTTGAGAGCTCTAATCAGTATAGAAACCATCTTATAAGTCGTCGTTATCAAACAAAAACCATCGTCATTACCATCATCATCATCAATAATATGGAGACCATCATCATTAAGTTAGTAGGTATTCATGAAAGAGCTGGTCTTTAGCTTTTTCTTAAAGGTGCAGAGGGACTCTGCAGATCACATGGAGTTTGGAAGTTCATTCCACCACCGGGGGGCGACAGAAGAGACCCGAGGAGAACGATCTTGAGACCATTTTTCGAGATCAAAACATTTGTACTTGGTCTTGTCTTGGTCTCCGTCTGGGCGGACTTCAGATTTTAAATCAAAATGAGTCAATTTACATGCAAAGTGAAGCTACAAGCTAACTAAAGAGCGCTAACATTAGCCCGCTAACAAGTGTGCTAACATTAGCATGCTAACACAGCAATGCAGGCCACATGCGATTGTAGCTTGAGCCAAGGACAAATGGTGGAGAGGGGTTGGAGGTGTGTCTCTGAAAGGATAGCGGAGGCTTCAGTACGGAGGAGGCGTGGCCTAACAGCAGTTTGTTTTGGTTTCAGGCTGGTGCTCAAGGGCGACATCTACTGGATCAAAAAGTTGCACATTCTCCCTTTAAAGTAAAATGTTTAAGGGTTGATCTACAGTAGTTTATTTGTGTTTAATATGTTTCTTTGTGTTTCAGATTCAAAGAAACCTCCAGAAGCTACTTGAAGAGACTTAGAAGAAGAAGCTCCAACATTTCCTCGAACTGTCTTTCACTGAAGAATCGTTTTGGTGATGGATTTGTAGCCAAAGCGCGGACGTCTTATCAGAAAAGCTTTTTTTTTTAATTGTGTGAACTTTGACTTAAATTGTGCAATAACAGCTTCTTCCCCCCATTTATTCCTCTCAGGACTTGTGTGTGTGTGTGTGTGTGTAGCAGCCAACAGGTTAGTATGTCAGTGTTAGTGAAGACAAGTTGTGTAATATTTATCCAAGAACATTTATTTTGCATTTCACAATAGTGGGATTTTAAAACGGTCCAAAGGGCTTTATTTCAATGTTTCCGGACATTTCTTCAAAGGTCAACTTATGCTGTTGAACGTGTTGTGTTGTTAGCGTGACATTGCCAATGAGTTATATTTATAAATCAGGCGGTGAGGGATGTTTGAGAAGATTTTTAGCTACATTTACGGGAAACATTTCCTCCGATTTGTGTGCTGTTTTTAAAATGGAGCTGTGAGAGTCGAGGCTTGGGTGACATTAGAGCGTTTTTTTATGGTAAATGTAGAGTAATCTGTAGTTAATTAACAATGCACGGTGTAGACTGACTATATTTTAAAACCTTGTGATGTTTTCTTTGTTTTTTTAACTCACTTTTGTGCCTTTAAAAAAAAAAAAGCCTGTCAATCATTTCTGGAGCGTTTATGTGAGTGTGTGTTTGCAGCTGCGTTGCTATGGTGAGCCCTTAATCCGAGACATTGCCTTTAACTGTTGTTCACCTCACAGGCCTGAAATAAAAGTCTCTGTCACACGACGGTGTCTGCTCGTCTGTGCTCTGAGTGTTTTTTATGTTTCTTTGTGGGAGCAGTGAGGTCGTCGCCTTACACACAAAGCACAAACAAATTCATGCAAATCAGATTTATCTGAGCGGATCACAACGTTAAAAAGTCATGAGAGTTCAAATGGCTTGTTGTGGAGGGCAGGGGCGTGTCCAGACCTTTTGGACTGGGGTGTCCCAACTGGGGCACCGACTCATGGAGGGGTGGCCTGAAGTTTGTGGGCACAAGCAGGCAAATTAATTTCTGTTTTTCACCCCTTCTATCCCCACAAATGATTTGTACTTTTAAGTAACACAATTTGGAAGCATATAAATCTTCTTTTCAAAAGAAAAGACTGTGCAAAGTCACAATTTAGATTTTTAGAAAATTGCATGCAAACTCTTGTACTCTGTCTAACTTGAAAAATATATTTTTTAGCAATTACGTCCATTTCAAGTTTGACTGAAGATTTAACTTGGAAGTTTTTAAGGAAAGAGCAAAGTATTAAAATATTTTATTTACAACTAAAAGATTGAACAAAAAAGTTATTCCATTTTACACGTAAAAACAAACTTCCAGCAGACCGTCGAAAACATCCAGAACAGTCAAGAGCCCAATCATAGATTTGGATTTTTGGCAGGGACGCTGATTGTTAATAGACAAAGCAGAACAACTGCCTGGAGCTCCAGGCCAGTAGGGGGCCCCCAAGGGCCGACAAACTTTAAACCACAGTGTTTAAGTGAAAACACTCAATAAGCTATTTCTGTTAGCCCGTCAATGGCAACTGCATTATACGTTAGCATCAAGCTAATGATCCAAGCTCTACACTCCCATTCATCTGTGAGATATTGTGCCCCCCTCTGGAGAATAATTCACCAGCTGACACTGTCACAGGAAAATGGAGTGAAATAAAATGCATGGATGTATGTCCACTCAGGGCTTCCATACTTTTGGTATTGTTGATGCTCATACATTTCTGCTTATGTGACGTTTTTAATTTTAATGCGAGACTTTTGGCAATTTATTCTTCCAGCATAAATAAAAAGGATGTATGTCACTTTAAAACAGAGAGAGGGAGAGAGAGAGAGAGAGAGAGAGAGAGAGAGAGAAGAGAGAGAGAGAGAGAGAGAGAGAGAGAGAGTAAGAGAGAGGGGAGAGAGAGAGAGAGAGAGAGAGAGAGAGAGAGAGAGAGAGAGGGAGAGAGAGAGAGGAGAGAGAGAGAGAGAGAGAGAGAGAGAGAGACAGAGAGAGAGAGAGAGAGAGAGAGAGAGAGACAGAGGGAGAGAGAGAGACAGAGAGAGAGAGACAGAGAGAGAGAGAGAGAGAGAGAGAGAGAGAGAGAGAGAGAGAGAGAGAGAGACAGAGAGAGAGTGAGACAGAGAGAGAGAGAGACAGAGAGAGAGTGAGACAGAGGGAGAGAGAGAGTGAGAGAGAGAGTGAGACAGAGGGAGAGAGAGAGAGACAGAGGGAGAGAGAGAGAGAGACAGAGGGAGAGTGAGAGAGAGAGAGAGGGAGAGAGAGAGAGAGAGAGAGAGAGAGACAGAGGGAGAGAGAGAGAGAGAGAGACAGAGGGAGAGAGAGAGAGAGAGAGGAGAGAGAGAGAGACAGAGGGAGAGAGAGACAGAGGGAGAGAGAGAGAGAGAGAGAGTGAGAGAGAGAGACAGAGGGAGAGAGAGGGAGAGAGAGAGGAGAGAGAGAGAGAGAGAGAGAGAGAGAGAGACAGAGAGAGAGAGAGAGGAGAGAGAGACACACACATGCAGACAGATGCATAAAACAGAAACCACACACACACTCGAGCTCTCTGGATGTTTATTGTGCTCTCACTCTGCACGCTGCAAGCCCCGCCCACTCATCTCACTCTGAACCAATCACAAGCGCCCCTCCACATCCCGTCTGCCCATCAACCCGTGTCCAGCCCCCCCCCCCCCCCCCCCCCTTGCATGACGTAACACCCAGTCTGAAAGTGCAATGGCGATATTGGACAATAACAGCCACCGCTTTTGGGCACCACATCTGTATTATGTGGCTAACGCTGAAGAAAACACCTCCAGTCGGCTGCAGAAACACGTGTAACATTTACATTTTCGACCTGCGACCAGGGGAGGAGGATCTGACAGCCCTGTGCACGCCATGACAGTTTAGACTTCAAAACGCAGGTGAGTGTCAACTCTGCTGATTGCACACAGCATTTTTGCAAGAAAGCCTGTAAACGGTTTTCTTTGCAGGGCTTCGGATTTCAAAGGGGCGTGGCGGCGTGGCTGGGTACCACTTCTGACTGAAAGGGATGCTGATAGCTTAGCAACAGCGACAAGGGAAGGAAGGAGGGGGAAAAAAAGGATGGAGGGAGACAATGGATGTGCGATCTGTCAGCTGTGTTACTGGGTAGGATGAGCAGAGCGTGGATTGTAGGAGTGGAAGGAGATCAGTGTGAGCCACAAGCAGCCGTGGATGCAGAGTGGAAATGTAAACAAAGGGTGTGGGCCTTCAGCTGGCCTGTGATGCTCAGCCTCAGAGAGAGAGAGAGAGAGAGAGAGAGAGAGAGGGAGAGGGAGAGGGACACATCACTGCTGCTGCTTTAAGATTTTAACACACATGAATAACACAGAATTCGTCTCCACCACCAGGCTGCTTTAGCTTTAGCGTGCTAACTGTTGCATCAGAATGATTCGAGCGTATTTCTCTCTCTTCTCCTCCTGAAGGTGTGACGTGTGTGAACAGACACCATGGCCACGCAGGAGCCGTCCCCGCCGTCCTCCATGGAGAGCAACAAGCCCGGCTTCCCCAAGAAGATCCTGGGCAACAAGCTGGAGGACAAACACCTGTGCAACTGCTGCCACAACATCCTGAGGCGACCGTTTCAAGCCCAGTGTGGACATCGCTTCTGCTCCTACTGCTTCAACAGGACTGTCAGGTCAGACCCTAAAACTCGACCACGGGAAGGTTTGAACACGAGCTGCAGCTACTCAAGTTTTGATTTAAGGCTGGCTACACACTAGATGATTTAAAAGTTTGGAGACCAGAGACACGAGGACAGTTTCAACAGATTATAATCCTCTGATCGCACACACACTAGACGATTCAGCCAGACCGCAAAGACACACACCTGCTGGTTGTAGTAAAACACACACAAGATCCCACAGGAACTCGCGTTATCACATGTGACTACAGAAGAAAATCAAATATGGAGGACGATCATCCTCCATGAGTGCGTTCTGTTTTGCAGAGAAACTCAATAAAATCATAAAAAGAAAAAAGAAAAAGAGTATTCCTCTTGGCTCGCCGCTCAGTTGTGTTGCCGCTGCCGTGTTTGTGAGCTGTAAACATCCGCTCGCTCTCATTGGCTGTTGTCGGAGGCTAGCCCGATCTGGAATCAAAAATATCAAACATGTTTGACATTTTTGATTCCAGTTCGGGGGAGGCTCAGACTCGATCAGGAGACTTGACACACTGAGGGTTATTTGGACAAGTCTTGAATCTGGCCCCGCCCCCTCCATCGCTCGACGGGACAAATCAGGCCCGAACTTGGGCCCTCAAATCGCCTCATGTTTAGCCAGCCTAAGTAAAAGAAGCTCTAATATAGTGCAGAAATAATGAACTGCAAGTTAAAGCCATGCATGTGTTAGTCCACATTCTGCACAAGGAATCATTTCATCGTTATTATTTCAGGTTTAATGGTTCAACGCTGCAGCTGGGAAATGTTGAGCTAATTTCCACTGCTGGTTAGCTTCATGGATAATATGAGTTTAAAATGAACTCTAGCTGTTGGATGAAAGAGGACGTTTTGTAAGATGAACTGTAGTGGAGTCAGTCAAGTCAGTTGAATGTGTAAACACAGTTGTTTATGTTTCACTGTCGGGGGGGTCTGATGTTTGCACGTTCTGGTTTCTGCAGTAATGGACCCCAGAAATGCAGCGCCTGCATTAAAGAGGATATTTTTGAGGACCCGACGTCGATTTTGAAACAAGGATGTGTGAGTATGAACACGTTTTTTATCCACTTGAGAAAACAAGCACATGATTTATTCAACTGTCAGGAATCAGACGCGTCAGAAGTCGACGCAGGCAAAGATTTATTTAATGCAACAAAGGAACAAAACTAAACTAAAGGCTGACTGATGAAAGAAACAGAATCTAAGTCCATGCAGTGAAAACAGAAAAACTCAGAGGAGTCCAACAAACAAGTCAAGCAATAAGAAAAACACAAGCTGACTTTCAAAGTCCAGGAACTGAAGTCCAAAAGTAACAAAAAGGGCCCAAATGGAAATTTCCATCAAACAGGAGCCACGAGGAAAACCAACCGATGAATTCAGGAACAACGAGGGGAATGTCTGACGATGAAGAAAATACTGAAGAAGTGGAGTCAAGATTTCTGGCACAACTTCACAAACATCCAATGTGCATGACGAGTGAAAGGCTTGAAGAGGTCAAAAAGCTCCAGCAGCATAAAATATCCGGAACATATGCTGCCTTCACATGCTCCTCAGTGACATCGTAATTCCCAGTTGTGCAGACATAGTGACGACATACACGCACTTAAGAGCTCTGGACGGAAAAAAAGCAAAAGTTGTTTAAGTTAAAGGAGCGATATGTAACTCTTGACACCTAGTGGTTAAAATGGGTACTGCAGTCCAAATTCAAAACATTGTAGAGAGCTGTCTCCCCCCCCCCTCTCTCTAGAGTTGATGCTCACACAGGTCACCATGTGGTGGACACGTGGAGCTTATTAGAAACATGCAGAGGCTTTTTAGGTCGGGTACAATCACTTCTATCACAACCACTTCTCTTGACCGCTTCCATCGCTGCAACACCTGTTGGCCTGATAACTGCTCTCATATCTGACAAACAGAGGGGCGTCCAAAACGGCCGTGTGGGGCGGTCGCCTTAAAAGCCCCTACCTTCTCTGGTCCAAACAAATTCAGAGCATTCAGGAGCAGAATGTAAAGTTAGAAGGAGGACATACTGGCTGCTTTTTTTGGGGTTTATCTCCAACTTTTTGTTTATCTGTAACTTTTTGTTACATAATAGTGTCTCAAACCTTCATTTAGATTCCAGGAGCTCCTCGCAGACCCATTACACCTCCACAACATTCAGATTGAAGGAGAAACATGGCGGTTTTGAAACACCAGTGTGTTCATCACTCTCCTCTTCAAACTGGACACAAGTCGTCTTCCTCTCCTCGTAATAATAGATGAGCATGAACTCGCCTGTCCTACTTTTTCTGAACCCTACATTCACGGCTCAGCGACCCGCTCTCGTCACGTTTGTCTTCGAGGCCTTGTTCAAACTAGAATGTGAAAAAAGCCGCCTCATGCTTTATTTGTGAGCCGACATGCAGGACGAAGGCTGCTGCTCGGGATTCACTCAGAGGACGAAGACGGAAAGGTTTCAGTTTGTGGTCACTAAACAGAACAAGAGGAAACAAAGTGAATGCATATATAAGGAGGCGATGCAGCGCTGTCTTTGACATAAATAATGTAGAAAACGGAGCTGGACATGTGGACAAACACATCGGAGTGTTTCTGCAAACATTCTTTTTCTTCTTCTGTTTTTCAGGCTTTTCCTGACAACGCCGTGCGGAGGGAAGTGGAACACCTTTCAGCTGTTTGTATCAACGAGAGTTGCACTTGGAAAGGCAGCATTAAGGACTACGAGGTGAGCGGAGAGACTCGACCTACTTTCATGTTTAGCTTCACAGCCGGTCAATATTTTTGCTTCTGTTGTTTTCAGATTATCAAAAAAAACCAAAAAAAAAACAGTTTTTCATGATGTGAGTCACAGACTTTAAATATGTTTTCTAGATTAGCCTGACTTTATTTGTATGTAGATAAACAATTATAGTTCACAGAAACAATTCCATATACTGTACATGCTGATTTGTCCCATTAGTTTGAAGCCTTTTGTCTCGCATTTTGGATTTCACCTTTTCTTTTTTCATAAGCCATTAGAGAGTTAAACACTGTGTCTCTCATATAGTGTTTCAATGCTGGATGTCCAAACTAAATGTGGGGAAAGTTTCAGATCATGAGGTAAACATATGTTGGTGTAATCCCAGGATGAGCCTGCAGAGGGCGCTAAAGAGCTCATTCTGCTAATCACATATAGTTCCCCGATATGAAACCAAGAGACGGCTTCAAGCCTCGACGTAAGCCGGTGAAACCTCTTACATAGACTATAGAGAGAGAGAGAGAGAGAGAGAGAGAGAATATATTTTAGTGGACACTTGAGGAACTGCAGTTTTAGGGACCCTTAACCCACTTCAGCGTTGACACCATTGTTTCAGAACGATCACTTTGACTAAAGCTGCACTTTTTTTCCAGATGAATCACGAGGGAAAGTGTGAGTTCATGATCATCCCCTGCCCCTCCTGCAAGGAACGCATCCGCTTCAACGAACAGGAGCGCCACAATGAGCGAGAGTGCCCAGAGAGAACGCTCAACTGCAAGTACTGCAAGGAGCCGTTTCACTTCAAGAACATCAAGGTACCAGATGATTTATTTAGATGTGCATGACATCACAGCCGCTCTGAGTGGATGAGAAAACAATGTCGGTGTGTTTTTTGTAGGCACATGATGAGATCTGTCCCAAGTACCCGATGATCTGTGAGGGCTGCGCCAAGAAGAAAATACCCAGAGAAAAGGTAAACAGCATGCACACTGTACAGGGGCTGAATTTTTTTTATTAAAGAGGACATATTATCCCCCTTTTCCACCTTTTCAAACAGCCCTCTCTTCCACCTTTTCAAACAGTCCCCCTGTGGTCTAAATGAAACATCTGTGCTGTGCTTTGGTCAAAATATAACATGAATCAAGCACCAGAGGAGGTTTGTGACCCTGTATAAACCAGCTCTCTCAGAACGCTCCGTTTTGGTGTGTGTGTCTCTTTAAATGCAATGACCCCCCCGACCTGCGCAAAAGTTTAGCTCTAGTCTGGGGGTGGAGTCAATGGGTGGAGATACCAGGGGAGGGGAGGGGATTTATTTTTTTATCAGAATCCCACTGTGACATCACAAGGAGAGCACATTAGAAACAGAGCATTTTTCTCTGTGTTGTAAGACTTATGCAGACCACAATCAAAGGACTGGATGGGTTTATTTCACATGTTGTGGGTCAGTAGACACTCAGGTTACCCAAATATATGTTCAAAAACACAAAGTGGATTTTTCAGAATATGTCCCCTTTAATCATTCAGTTTGATTTTGAAAACGATACATGTTATCCATAGTTAGGCATGTAGCTGACCTGATTGACAGGTGGGCGCAGTGTAACGGTTTGTCAGGAGGTTTAAAACCCGCCTCAGCTCCAGCTCTCAGCCTGTCGTTAGGTTGACTGAAAGTTAGACTGAGACAGCATTTCCACATGGAGACCGCCATCGATGGGACTCCAGCGCCCCCTGCAGGAACGGATGGGCGAAGTCACTCAGGCTTCATTCCTTAATATTTACAGTCTGTGATCTCACTTTGTTGTGGTAAACATGTTACAAATCTTTGAATAGTGCTATAGATGCCATTTCTCCCTTCCAATAATAGAGGACTGTTACGTTCCCTTATGTTGTAGTTGAATGTTTCACCACTAGATGTCACTGTTGCTTCTCTACAGCAGCTGTGGATGAAGCCTAAAGGCTTTTGTTCTCCCCTCATCATAACGCTTCGTCATATTGTACAAACATTAGAGTTTTTGTTTGTAGAGATCAGACACAAGAGGAAACACTGGAACAAACTCTGCAGGGAGAAATGCTGCTCACTGATTGGCTGCAGGAAGTGAGATCGTCATTTCTAAGTCAATACTTTGGTTAGTTTTGACGCTACCCTCTACTATTTAAGATGAACCTCACTTCTACCTGGTGAAACCAGACAATGACACAACTTCAATCACAAACTAACTTGTTTGAACGTATCGGATTTGAACCTGGGCCGCCCGCTTCGAGGACTGCAGTCTCTGTACACGGGGCGCATGCCCTAAACCACTCAGCCTGAAAATCACATTTTTCTGACAACGTCTTGGTTAGTTTGGACATTAAGAGCTACTGGTAAAGATGAACCCTACGTCTCTATGGTAACCAAACAACGACACAACACAGGGTTCAGCGAGCTGGTTCAAACAGGCCACGCCTCTTCTGCTGACTTGATGTTGTTTCATTGTTTTTTGTTCCAGTATGTGGACCACATCAAGTTCTGCAGCAAGTTCAGGACGCCGTGTCGATTTCACGTCGTGGGATGTGACATGTCTGTAAGTATCCTGACGGCCTTTATGATAAATACTGTGATGACGTCACACCGACATTTCTATCAGAGTCTGTTTGAACGTTATCGGAGAGGAAGAGGAAGAGGAGGAGGGAGAGATTTTCAGTTTATCTTTTGCTGAAAGGATGTTCGGTCGTCTGATTGGGACGCCTCCTGGACGCCTCGATTTGGAGGTTTTCCCGGACACGCCCACCTGGGAGGAGACCCCAGGGTAGACCTCGGGATCGTCCAGGAGGAGCTGGAGAGCGTTGCAGTCGATGAATTCAATCACAAAAGCAGCCGGATAACTTTTTTTTTTACATTTTAAAGTGTGGCTGAAAAAATCGCTTATGTTTCCTGTAGATACGATTCTGAAGTATAAAGCAGAGATGCAACAGATCCGATCTTACAAGATAATCCTTCATTTATCCCATAACGGGGACATTTACAATGTTACAGCAGCAAAGAGCAAAGATTGCAAACAAAAAGTGAACACAGTAAAAAAAAAGAAAGGAAAATTAAAAATGCACAAAAAAATAGATAGATACCACAATATAGATTTAAAAAAATAGATCAGCTGAGAGCTGCAGTTCTGACAAAAATGTAGTTATATCAGTATGGGGTCCAATTTTGACTAATTTAAATATCGGGACAGCGATCAAGAAAGATGGTTGGACACTTGAAACATTCTCCGCTCGTGCAGTCTCTCTTTGAAGACGTTCAGACTGAACTGTGAGAAGTGTCCACAAATCGTCTCCATGACGACGTTCAGACAAGATGGATCAGCTCCGTCTGTATAATCAAAAAGTAAACAACTTTTACACTTCAGTTTAAAAGATTTTAATTTGAAAATCTTACAGGTATAGCTGCTTCCTGTTTGTATGTGAAGACAGCTCAATGCGATGCAGCTTTGTGACACTCGGGAGTCTTCTTAATTTTTTAAAGATTTTTTTGGGGGGCTTTTTTGGAGAGATAGGACAGTGGATAGAGTCGGAAATCAGGGAGAGAGAGAGTTGGGAATGACATGCGGGAAAGAAGCCACAGGCCGCCTGCTTGAAGAACCACAGCCTCGAGTCTTTTTACCTTACCTAATTCCCGTCCAAAAAAACGTTCTCACGCTTCCCCCTAAACAGATTATCAGAGCGCGTTATTCTTAATTTAAAAATTTCCCTTCTCACTTTGTGTAGGTGGAAAAAGAAAAGATTCATGACCACGAGCGCGCCTTCGCCTACGAGCACCTGAACCTGCTGCTGCACTACATCATGGGCATGAAGGTGAGCATGGAGGGCCTGCAGCCCCAGGGACTGGAGGTCGCCGGACACAAACTGGTGGAGCTCCAGCAGTCCCTCAGGGAGCTGGAGGCCAGAGTCTCCCAGCTCAGCACCACCTCCTCTGGGCCTCCCGTGCAGGGAGCCGCCGCCGCCTCCTCTTCATCCTCCAGCAGCTCCGGCCCCCCTGGTCCTCCCGCTTCAGCTCCTCTTCCTCCACCTCCCACCTTGGCTCCCACCCTCTCCGTGTCCACCTCCTTCACGCCCCTGCCCAGCTCGGTGGGCGCGGCCCTGGAGCTCCAGCTCCACAGCGAGAAGACCAAAGTGGTGGAGCTGGGCCGGAGGTGCACGGAGCTCGAAGTGAAGTCAGGCACGTTTGAGAATGTGGTGTGTGTACTGAACAGAGAGGTGGAGAGGTTCGCCACCACCATGGAGGCCAGCAACCGTCAGCACAAACTGGACCAGGACAAGATCGAGGCTCTGACCAACAAGGTAGGACTCGCTTCAGCTTCTACATGTTTACATCTATGTCTTCAAATGCTCCTTACCAAGGAAGCAGCCCCTGAAATGGGACAGAGCTCTAGTGACATATCACTTCCTGTTTACATCTTCCAAAGTATTATGGGAATTGTAGTTCCAAAACTGAGAGTGTAATTACCCCCCTGTTAAAAATATATATATATTTCTTTTTTATATATATATTTTTTTTCAATATGCTGAATGAATCAAAAAATAAACTACCCCCAAGAAAAGAAGCAGCAACATCTTTAGAAATGAATACACAGATATAAATACACATTAAAACAATGAAATAAGAGAGAAAAAACTAAATATATATATATATATAAAAATATATATATATATAAAAAAAAAAAATAGAAAACAAACAGACAAAAAAAAAGAAGAAAAAAAAGAGACTCTTCAAGACTCTTAGTCCAGTCGCCTTAAATTGAAAGTAAAACCCTCTAACAGTCTGTTGTTGTTGTTGTTTTTGTGTTGTAGGTGCGACAGCTGGAGAGGACGGTGGGGCTGAAGGACCTCACGGTGGCTGAGATGGAGGGCCGGCTGAGGGAAATGTCCGCCACAACCTTTGATGGCGTCTTCGTCTGGAGGATCTCTGATTTCGCCAAGAAGAGGCAGGACGCCGTCGCGGGTCGAGCTCCGGCCATGTTTTCACCAGGTAACAACGATGACTCATTCTGACTGATTAGAGGGCTTCAGATGTCTAGAGTCAATCCAACACAGTCCTCATTAAATCCTTCCTGAATGATGATGACTCAGGTCGTGATGAATAGAAACAATAAAAAGTTTACAACCCTTTTAGAGAATCCTTCACATCGCCTAATGACTCATAACTTCTGTTTCCTTCCAGCCTTCTACACCAGTAAATACGGCTATAAGATGTGTCTGCGGATCTACCTGAACGGAGATGGGACGGGGCGTGGCAGCCACCTGTCCTTGTTCTTTGTGGTGATGAGGGGACTGAGTGACGCGCTGCTCAAATGGCCTTTTAACCAGAAGGTAAAAACACCTGCAGGTGGAGTGTGAGGCTTTTTTATGAGCTGTAAGGTCGAGGTTACTAAAAGACAGCATTTTTTATATATATATATATATATATATAGACGTAGTGTCAGTGACCTCACCTATCGGTTTCAGGAGAGTAGTTTTGAAGCACGATTGATCAGTCTACAAACAGAATCAGAAATATTTTATTAATCTGGGGGGGTTAGCAACTTTAACAGGCCAACGGGTGTCGTGGCGGCCCTGGCGACCGGGGTAGCGGTGGCTAGCGGCTGCAGGGCTAGCGGCGGCCCCGGCGGCCAAAACACAAGACCAGCCTGTCGGCAGCAGCCATCTCGCCACTATATTTATAATTTTTCGCCATTATCAGCTTTCTCCATAGAGCCTGTTAGCATAGCTTCCAAGCAATATGGCGGATGTTAAGTTTCGATTCTGGGAGTGAGTTCCCGCCCACTGATCTGTGATTGGTCTTCAGTGGTCGAAAATATGAGGAACTAGCGTTGTAGTTTCACCCCGCTAACCGCAACAGCTTCCAGTGACGCAAAAATTGTCATGTTGCGTTGTTCTGAGGTGGTAAACATCATCACACATTCTTCTCCCCCCAGGTGACCCTGATGCTGCTCGACCAGAGCAACCGGGAGCACATCATCGACGCCTTCAGACCCGACGTCACCTCCTCGTCCTTCCAGCGACCCGTGAGCGAGATGAACATCGCCAGCGGCTGCCCGCTCTTCTGCCCGCTCTCCAAGCTCGACGCCAAGAACTCTTACATCCGCGATGACACCATTTTCATCAAGGCCATCGTGGACCTCACCGGCCTCTAGGGGGCTCCACCGAGTCGGTCTAGTTTGTGCAACATGGGCAGCTCTTTGACCATTTACGGCTTAATTTAAGGCTCGATCGTGGTCCCTTTAGGGGTTCTGTCTTACTGCCCCCCTCCCCCCCCTCCCCCCGCTGCTGTAGGGAGGCAGACATGCTTGTGGACTGCGTGAGGCTGCAGTCCAGACGGCGCCCGGCATTGTCATACCCGGTGGGTTTTCTACGCGAGAACCACCGTCCACTGGTGTACATTTCAGGTGCAAAAACCTTTTCTTTTTTTCTTTTGACATCACGGTGATCAAAGGTCACCTCACATGAGTTTTCAGTTGAAAGAAAAAGGGGACGCACCGGTGCAGCGTGGTCAGCGCAGGGGAATGAGCAGAGGCAAGAAATGCCGAGAGTTGAACAGGAGTTGAAAAAGAGTCTTTTATTTTGAAAATCTCCTACATTTGACGAATCGGTTTTGAAACAGGAAACGCGTCCTGTTTCCTGTTTCCTGGAGTGATGGTAGTTTACAGATAGTCGGTGTGATCATTCCTGAGTGGTAGACTTAAACTTAGAGTTAGAGCATGGCTTTTTGCTTTTTTTCTTGCAGATTGTGGATATTGTGAGCTTCTCAATTCCAGTGTGAGTGAATTTGCATAGACAAACGTGGAGTTATGTTATGAATAAGATTACAGGCATTTCTTTGCCTTTTTTTTTTTTTGATTTGACGCTTAGTGCATGCCGCTGGCGTTTTTTAAGTATAAAAAAATCGGTCCTTTATTTTCGACTGAGCTTCACGAGAGTTTCCTTTGTTTGTCGTTAGTGAATTAGCCATCCGTGATGGTGGACATTGCCTGCATGTCTTTTGGAGCCAGGCTATCTTACAATGTAAAAGTGTGTTGCGTGTTTTTTCCTATTAGGGGTTCTTCTGATTGGTGGTTTTGGTACATCTGTGGAAGATAACAGTTGGAGTTTACCAAGGAGTCAGGGGACGAGCCTGAGGCATTAAAAAACTCTCCGACAAAACAATACATAGCTGTGGAGTTCCCCCCCCCCCCACAGAGGAAGTGCTCACTCGCTCACATCTCAACACATAGTGCCGCGCACCACCACAGATTGAGGTCAACACAGATTCCACAAAATGAAGGAATTGTTCCTTGTTTTCTGTCCATTCAGTATATACAGTGCATATGTGTTTCTGCTGCTCTAACATAGAATAATAATGTGAATCTAAAATATATAAATATATATATGTTGGTGAGGTAAATGTTTGTGGAGGCTGAGTGGCTGAAATGCTTTGTTGGTGGCCATTTTTGACATTCTCTTCTTCTCCCCCCCCCCTTTGAGGCACCACTAATGTCACCCTCATTATGAGCAGGGGGGCGTGTAATCCTCCACACGTCCACCAGAGGCTGCTGTTGCACTTACTTAGCATGCATGCTGAGGTTTTTTTTTTCTTTTTAAAAAAAAAAGCTTCATGCTGGCCTGTTTGAAAAAAACAGTCTCGACCTGTATTGAACCCTCTCTGTGCATGGGAGGCTTCAATTCATATTCACTTAGGAGCTCCACGCCGGTCGACCTCCTACCGTGGGGCGGCGTGCGGAAAAGGTGTTTTATTTTGTATTTTGTTTGGATGAATAACCATAGAATAGTTATTATGTTATACCCGGCGCTGCGTCTGTTCCAACAGAAGCGGTCGCCTATATTCATAGCAATTTATAAATATGTATCGTTCATATCATAATGTTGAAATAATCTATATATCAATGTTAATATACAGGAGATGTTATAATAAACATAGTATTACTGAATACCTTATTAATTCTATATCTATATACCAGCTTTTTTCTTTGTCAAGATGGTTCCAACAGGCCAGGACGCCCCCCCCCCTTCTGTGCAGTACGGACTACTGATCCCTTCGATAGTGCAATACTCGATTATGTCTGTTTCCATTTTGATGACATCTCGGCTTTAAGGGGTCACCAGAGGTCATTACTCGACTTGTTTACATTACTCATCGCAGCTCTGAAAACTGCAACCGATCTCTAACTTCACGAGGAATAAAAAACGACGGTGCTTTCCTCGTCTTTAAGCGTGCGGGACTTTCCACCGCTAACATCAGTCAAAAAACAAGCTAACCATGAAGCTAACCCGCTAAATCAAAGCTCGATACAGACGGCGGGTTTCTATCCTTTACTTAAACACATTTTCAATGAAGAGTGAGCGTGTAGTTGTAGAACTTTTTTTTTTTAAAACCTTTGAGTGTTCTTGTATCGTGCCAAATCAAATATTACCTCCTTTGTTATGATGCTAACTATGTCGTACCGCGAGATGTTGTTTGTGTTCTATGCTAACAAAATGGTGCCAAATGGGGTTTTAAAAAAAATTGTCGTTTGTGCTGCGTGAATGTGTGCGTGGTCATTTGAAGACAAAGCATTTGTCGCTACAGATCAGAGGTGAAACGCTGTCCTCTCGTTACAGACTCTCCCTTGAGGGTTTTTTTATGAATGTACGCTTGAACTCTGAACCCCGCGATGCAGTCGAACCGGAAACCGACTTTCTTTGTGCACTTTGTATTCGTCGTTTGTCCAAACAGGGTATTTTTGTTGAGTGACTTGTGTATACTTTGAAATCAGAGCCATATATATTCTGATGTTGATGATTGATGTATATTATGCTCTAACGCGGGGACATGCAGTATGAAATAAAAGACGTTTGATGGTTTCAGCGTGTTCATGATCTCAGATGTCTTTGTGAGTGTGAGTGTTGAAGACGGTGGTGCGGTGGTTAGCGCTGTCGCTTCAAGCCCCCCCCTGCGACCCCGAATGGAAAACAGCAGTATAGATAACGGATGGAGGATGAAAAGTCACCACAACTTAAAAATACTCAAATTCAAGTCCTGCATTTAAAATCAGACTCACAGGGTGCCGATAGCTTAGCGGTTATATCGCGTCCCCCACGTACAGAGTTCTCATCGCAGCGGCCGTGGGTTTCAATCTGACCTCTGCCCTTTGCTGCATGTCATCCCAACATTTCCTGTCTCAGCGTATAAAAGGCAAAACGGCCCAAAAAGAAAATTCTTTGAAATCCAACTCATCGTTTTCCTATTTGACTTTTGTTTGACTCTCAAAACATTAAGTTCAAATCACAGGACAGTGTGTTTGTTTTTCACAGCAGATTAGAATTCCTCATTCATTCAGGCACATTTCACACGTTTTGGTATATCACTGCCAAAGGTTAAAGGTCACATATTTAACCTCTCCTGAAAATTTAAACCTCACAAATTGTAGTGGCGTTCCTTCTGGATGTCAAAAAAGCCACTTCCTGAGCTGTAGGCACAGTAACTTCAGTCTGACGCGAATGACAGGAGATGTAATCCGGTTCAAAACGTTTAATAAAGAAAAATAAAATTCAAATTACAGTCTGTCACACGGTAGAAAAACGATATGCTCTGCCGCAGCTCAAAGCATCAGTCAACTGCACACATGACTCACCAAATTAAAGATCCAATATGCAAGTTTAATCAGGGAGGGAGCATCAATGATATGAACCAACATGAGTTTGTTTTTAAATCTTTTAACATTGTTTCCCTGGTATGCACATGAAATAACATGAAGTTATAAATTATGCATCATATTTTTAATTAATTTAAATTCTCATCTTGTGGCTCTTACACAAATAAAAAAAATCATAAAAACAATACAAAATTGTAGCATACTTACATCGTCCTGCAAACTCAGGGATGCTTTTCTCGACGTAACACCGGGCTTGTGCCGGGTTTGTTTGTTACCATGGAAACTCTCTCACTGTGAAGGAACTGTGGACAGTTGGGGAAAGATAACTTTATTCATGACAGCAGGACTTTAAAAGTGTTTATTTTTTAACGAGGAAGACACATGACATGGACAGAAAGAGAGTCCCGGAGGAGGAAAAGGAATCACGGTGAGTTTATTTGAAGCATTTCTCTTTTTTTTTCACCAATCTGAAAGTCTAATCTAACTTTGTGTGAACCTGAACAGAGGATTACAAGCGGGGTCGAGCAACGTGAGACCAGGGTCGACTACCTCGACAAGACCTCCACCCTTCTTGATTTACTGAAGAAACGCCGGGAGAATGAAGAGCTGGAGGCACAGATTGAGGACCGGAAGAAGGTGAAGCCAACAGGTGCCCTAACCGGCTTTTAGAAAGTTTCACATCACGCTGCGCACATTGAGGGAAACTTAACTGAGTTACTTCTAAACTATGTCAAACAAACACACACTGCAACTTAGTAAATACTGGAGTTACAGGAACTGCTGCGAGTAAAATGTGTACGAGAAAAGGGACCCCCAATGTTACGGTGTAAATTGTTACCGTGTTATCTGGAGACCTTCCGCCGAGTGTGTCTGTGGCCGTCGCAGCTAGTTTACAACAGATGTTGAAGACTGAGATTTGTATTAAAGACATTTAAAATCCAGTATTGAGTCAATATACCGGTAGTTTGAATTAAAACTAAACAAATAGGCATTCGTTATTCGGGGAAACCACGGACGCATTCTGCTGATGGTCTTCAGTTAACACGGGCACCATTTAAACCGTAACACCAACTCATCTCACGTGGGAGCGGATGTAAACAAAAACGTAGATTTTCGCAGAGTAAAAGTTACTGATTTTAAAAAGAGATGAAAAAACAAGTCAGTACAAAAAGGTTTGAGTTAGGAGTCAAGCAGTCATCACTCTTTGTCTGTTATAGAAATCTGTTTTAATATGTTAACTGCAGATTAGCAGCTAGTTCTGTACATTTTTGTTTTTAATACTTTGTATTATCTGTTTGTTGGTTTTTAAATGATTTTGTTTATCTATGATGTGTATATATATATGTATGTATGTATACAGTATATGCATATGCTTATGTGTGTATGTGTACATATATATGTGTATGTATGTTTGTTATTTTTCTTTGTTTGTCCTGCTCGATGAATAGTGTTTGTGGTGCTGCTTGTACACAGGCAAGGCAGGCTACTACTTGGGGACCCAGGCCAGTAAGCCATGATTTCTTCCTTGAAGCCCACTGCCCTGCCTCTCCATGTCTTATTAGCTTCATTAAATGCTAATTTAAGTGTTTAACCTGCTTTGTGTGTTTTCATGGAGGCGTTGGAGAGTTTGAAGGAGCGCACACAGAAGATGCAGGAGAAGATTAGAATACAGACAGAGTTACACGTAGAATTAAAGATGCTGCACAAGGTACAGTAAGGAAAACATTTAACACCACATGCCTCACTGAACAGCAGGAGCACCATAAAAACACATTATTATTACCTCCCTCTGTGTAGGAAGAAGATGCTTCTCTAGCCGCTGAGAGGGCGGAGAAGGAGAGGACGCAGGAGCTGAGGAGCCAGGAGGAGGAGAGGAGGCTGGAGGAGGAGCACGTCCAACTGATGGAGAGGAAAGAGGAGCTGAAGAGTCAAGTAGAGCGGCACGCTTTGTACAATAAATACATGGAGCGGGTTGTCCAAATGACAAAGGTAACGACACCTGACTGAATCCTAATGTGTGGTTTATTAAGTCAGTCGAAAGCCGTGAACGACATGCAGGCTGCCTGATACTGAATCCTGTTTCAACACCAATGCAGCAAAAGTAGAAGTCACAGGCAGCTAATAATGAGAAATGTATTGTTTTCTTGTATCCTGCACGCTGTCTTCTTTTTGCCAATGTATTTGTGTTTTTCTTTTGGGGGGGTATTAACGCGTGTGTGTTACAGTTCGAGGATGTGCAGCAGCTCACCAACCATCTAGAAAGTCTCCTCCACTTCAAAGAGCAGCTGTATCAGAGGGAAGCCGAGTCCGACCAGCAGCTGGAGGAAAAGAAAAAAGCCCAGGTGACGCTGAAGGACCGGCATGTGTTGGTGCGGCGGCAGAGGACCAGCGAGCTGTCGCAGCTGCAGGCCGAGCTCACGGGCACGCTCTCTGAAGTTGCATCATGGGTACCAAACACATTTCTGACCCTATCAGAGCGTAAGGCTTTTGAATTCAACCAAAATCTTGTTTTTTTTTAATCAGTTTTGTCTTTTTTTTTCTACATGAAGGAAAAGAAATGGAACCACATTCAAGAAACAGCCGCGAAGAAAACCCTACAACTGGGGGAGATCAAGATGGCCGCCCTCAACGCCTTTGAATTGACGGGTGGGAATGAAGATGAAGAGGAACCTGTGGACATTAACGACACAGAGAAACAGCTAGAGAAGGTACGAACGCTTGAGGGGCTTTCTGATAGGATGTTGCTAGGTGACCGAAACTGTGGTCCGTTTTGGATGCACATTGTATCTGTCCAGTATTCAGTAGAAAGCTCTGACCTTTCTTCTGCTGAGGAAGCAATGAAGAAGAGGGTGTGGCTTCATGAGATCCTCAGAGCTCGTCAGGATGTAGGGCAGGCTCGTCCGGGAGCTGCAGCTCGATAACAACGGCTTCCAGGTGAACGTCAGGCTGAGTGAGGAGCACAAAAGACAGCCTGTTGGGAAGAGGCAGTAGTAGTAGTAAAAACATTTTGACTGAAAAGGTGTAGGCTGAAGCTTCATCTTATTACACCTACCCTTGTTACACTAGTTAAGTTACAAAAAAAACAGAACATATCAGAGCAAAATTTCTTTCAGAATTTCTTTCAAAACAAAAACAAATGAAACAAACAAAAAAACAAAACAGAATTCACACAAAAAATAATCAAACCGACCTTTTCTATTTGTTAAACACCATTTTTTAAAAACAAAAATGTGCAGCAAGACTCACCGGAATCAGGACAACTTCAGGCAGCCGATCAGTCCCTCAGAACGTCGGGTGATTTGTCTGATGGGACTTGTTTGTTGTGATCTGCTCTGCCCTCCTATTGGACACGCTGACGTGTCATCACAGAGCGCTGCGCCCAACTTAAAGTACTTCAAACTTCCATGCAGCGTGTTGAGACAGTGAACGCTTCCTGCTGCACTCAGCTCGGCCAGGGTCAGATACACTCTTGCATCGCGCTCCACATCGACGATAAATGAGTTAAACAGCAGATTGCAGCTTGCACCACATCCAATCTGAACATCCCCTTTAAAGCATAACACCTTAAAAGAAAGAAAAATAATCAGCATCCTCTTTTTTTTTTCTTTTTTTTGTAGGTCCAGAAGTTCTTCCAGGACCACGATGAGTTCCTGAGACATCATCAAGCTCCCTCACCGACACACAAAGATAACGGACAAGGAAAGAAACAAGGTCAAAGAGTCCAAAGTGGCTCTTCTTAAGACATATAAAAGTTTGTATTTCATGTCCAAGTGTTTGCAAAAGTGAAACTTTAAACACAGTGGGCTGAGGACGGGGGGACAAAGTGTAACCTTGAACACAGCGCAGTGATCTCTTTTAAGACTGTCAATCAAAAGCATCCTTTGGGACAAAACTTAGCTCTCGTCTTCATTCCATCACTGGAGGACGTACAGTACCTGTTACCGTACATTTGTGTGGTTTCACCTGACAGAAAACTGCTTGCCTGTCATCTGTCATCCAATCAGAGCACTCGAGGACGACTTACATCACAGGTTCACATGAGTACTTCAGAGGAGTTTCCACTCTGTGCTGGTGTTGTTGTCCCAGCTCCACAGGTGCTAGAAACCCCAAACTAATCTTTATACGTACCTATGCAGCTTCCAACTGCATTTATATTTTATTATTTGTATTTATTTTATTGCACTTAAAAAGCAAAAACATAATAGATGAATGGAAAAACAGACAGTACATAATGATTAGTTAATTAACAAAATATACATTTTGAAAGAAATGTGCTGGAGGAGCCAAATAAACCCAGAGGGGCTCGTGGAGTGGCCCTCCTAAAGAGAAACATGTAACACACAGACAAAAACAATAAACTAACAAGAACACGTACTCAATAAGGTGTAAAAGAAAGCAAAACAAGAAAGAGACAAAATAAAGAAGAGGGGAAAAAGGCGCTTTGGTTAATTGGCCAAGCAGGAAATAAATGGTTTGTTTTTTATATACAATGCTAAATGTGAGAAAAAACACACTTCCTGTGTAGATGCTTCAAATAAGACGCTGTGTTGAAATGATTTGTCCACAATGTGCAGAGCAGCTGTCAGAAAGTAACGCACAGCGGCAGACTGAGCCACTCAGCCCGTCGTCCTTTTCCAACCCTGGAACATCTCGGTGCAGATAAAGAGGAGCTGAAACAGATCGACATGTGAAGTCATGTGTCAAAGAGAACAACAAATACGAACACACCAGAACCCTCAAAAGACCTCGACCATAAAGTAATTCAGAGATTTGTATGTCATCATCGCTCCTTTTTTTAAACACAGAAACAAATTGATCTTAGAATCTGAAAGACTACGTCGACTACGTTTGGGTTCACAGCTCGGCCACAGTTGTCAGTCGTAGCTGTGCTTCTGTGTTTCATGCTGATTTACGAGGGGGAGTCAGAGAAGCAGGGTGTAATGATAACCATTAACACGTAGATGAAGAGCTACAGAAGTGACCGGCACTAAAAGACAGCAAAGACAAGTTACCTGTTAGAGAGAAAAGCAGCTGTAAAAGAAAAGCAGCTGGTTCTGGTGGTAAAACACCTCGGACAGTTTAAATCTAACAGAAGTGTAAATGGTGTTTAATTATGGTGCTTTCCATTTGATAACTCCCTCGTGTGAACGTGAGGGGAGGGGGGTTGGAGGTGTCTCTCTGGAGGAGAGCGGAGGCTTCAGTATGGAGGAGGCGTGGCCAAACAGGAAGTTTGTTTTGGTTTCTCCATGTGATCTGCAGAGTCCCTCTGTACCTTTAAGAAAAAGCTAAAGACCCAGCTCTTTATGAATACCTACTAACTTAATGATGATGGTCTCCATATTATTGATGATGATGATGGTAATGACGATGGTTTTTGTTTGATAACGATGACTTATAAGATGGTTTCTATACTGATTAGAGCTCTCAAGAACTGCCCTCAATGTTGTGCTTTGCCTCTGGTCACTTCCTGTCAGCACCTGTGTGTCCAATCAGACTCAAAGCTGATCGTTTGCTCTTACTCACATTGTTCCCTTTTTTCTAGATCCTTGCTTGTGTTGTTCTTACTCTCTGATGTACGTCACTTTGGATAAAAGTGTCTGCTAAGTGAATTGTAGAAGTCATGCTGGTGCTCAAGGGTGACATCTACTGGATCAAAAAAGTTGCACATTCTTCCTTTAAGACTCATAGCTTCATCAAATTGACTAAACTTTGTGATTGTTAAATTTCACACACCGATGATAATGTAAAGTTGTGTTTGGAAAATCTCTGTTTCTTAGAATACAGACTGCACGCTGAAACAAAGTTGGGCTCGGCTGAAAGATGAGACGCTCATAATGAGGAAGCGTTGACGGGGACATAACCCAGACATCTGAGGACGACGACGGCATATTGAGAATTAGTCTGAACACCTCACCACTTTTGGATCGTTCTCTTCAAGTCAGACATGAAGCACTGATACTTCAGATACTTGTATCTTCCTCTCAGACTAAACAGCCGGGATAGTTCATGTGTTGTTTGGTTTTCATGGAACGAAACCGCAGTGATGACACTAATGTGGCGTCGCAAACATTATGAGCATGTTTCAGAGGCTGCACAGATTCTTCTTCTGATTTCAGTGTTGAGAGTTTCTTCAGATTTGAAATGTGTGTCTTTAATCTGTGTAGAGGTCAGCTGTCCATCAATATACAAATTCTGTTATTGAATAGCAAACTGTGTAACTACTTTAAATCTAAAATGATTCAAAGGTTGAGGTTTTAATAAACTCCTCAAAAAAAGTTTGAAACGTGTTTTCAGTCAATTATTTTGGCTCGGACTGACACAAGATGTCGCCACAAAAGCATAACAAAAATGGAGTTGAGGTGAGTTTGAAAACATTGACGTCTTTTTTAAACATGTAACATTAAAAATAAATACATTTTATTTCTTGACTTATATTTGCCTTCCTTTCTTCGGCTTGTGTAGCTCGCTAAGTTAGCTGGGACTCGTTGGCGCTGCTTGTGGCGGTTAGTGATCTGATTATTTTTACAAAACAAAACCGTTATACAAATTAAAGTTATCAACGGTTGTTAATTCACTAAATATTGTTTTATTTTTGATATCTCCAGGTCTAAATGCCATCAACCAGAGGGAGAGTTACAAAGGTAGGCTTTCATTGGTGAGATGAAACCGGGTTCTCGCTTCAATCAGAGTTTTCAAATATAAGGTCTTTGCTACATATGTAGCATTTTATTAGAAGACACCCCCCACACAGCCGTTTTGGACACCCCTCAGTTTGCCAGATATGAGAGCAGTTAGGTCAAACCAACAGAAAAATGGAGAGAGGTTAGAACACAGAAAGGTTTACAGACCCATGCAGAGCTGGATAAACACTGAAGCTTCAGAGTCCACCACATGGTGACCTGAGTGAGCATCCACTCTAGAGAGGAGGGGGGGAGACAGCTCTCTATGATGTTTAGAAATTTAGACTGCAGTAGCCGTTTTAAACACTAGGTGTCAGAGTTACATACTGCTCCTTTAAGTTATTTCACACAATTCATATTAATCCATAAATATCCCCAAAGTGCAGAAACTTTTAATCAATTAGAGAACATTTTCCCAAAACCTTTTTTTTGTCATCTAAGACTTTTTTATGAATGAGTTTATGTAACCTACGTGCATTATCATATCATGTTCTTGTTTAATCACCATGCCACACATTGACTAAATGCCGGTTAGCAGTAAAATGAGGTCACTCCCCCCGGGGGTCTTGTCAATACATAATTAAAACTACAGGACACATATCTCTGACTCTCTGCACAGAGTAAACCCCAACACTGCTTCTGTCAGTGCGCTGAGTTAAAGAGAGAGAATCGTTCAGGAAGTGTAATCATGAAGGAAAACTTTTAACTGCTCACATTATTAACTCAGTTAATCAAAAACCCATCAATCATAAAGTATGAAGGCTGAATAATGACGGGCCTGCTCGTGTTTCACAGACAGCCAGACGTCGTTTGTGTGACCAGCGGGTAACTCATCATCTGCAGCTGATTCATCCTCCACCTGGACCGCAGTGAGAACATTCACTCTACTCTCTCTCTCTCTCTCTCTCTGTCTCTCTGTCTCTCTCTCTCTCTCTCTCTCTCTGTCTCTCTTTCTCTCTCTCCCTCTCTCTCTCTGTCTCTCTCTCTCTCTCTCTCTCCTCTCTCTCTGTCTCTCTCTCTCTCTCTCTCTCTGTCTCTCTCTCTGTCTCTCTCTCTCTCTCTCTGTCTCTCTCTCTCTCTCTCTGTCTCTCTCTCTCTCTCTCTCTCTCTCTGTCTCTCTCTCTCTCTCTCTCTCTCTCTCTGTCTCTCTCTCTCTGTCTCTCTCTCTCTCTCTGTCTCTCTGTCTCTCTCTCTCTGTCTCTCTCTCTCTCTCTCTCTCTCTCTCTCTCTCTCTCTGTCTCTCTCTCTCTCTCTCTCTCTCTCTCTGTCTCTCTCTCTCTCTCTCTCTCTCTCTCTCTCTCTGTCTCTCTCTCTCTCTCTCTCTCTCTGTCTCTCTCTCTCTGTCTCTGTCTCTCTCTCTCTCTGTCTCTCTGTCTCTCTCTCTCTGTCTCTCTGTCTCTCTCTCTCTCTGTCTCTCTCTCTGTCTCTCTCTCTCTCTCTCTATCTCTCTGTCTCTCTCTCTCTCCCTCTGTCTCTCTCTCTCTCTCTCTCGTCTCTGTCTCTGTCTCTGTCTGTTGGTGTAATCCCAGGATGAGTCAGCAGAGGGCGCTAAACAGCTCGTTCTGCTAATCACATATAGTTCCCCGATATGAAACCAAGAGACGGCTTCAAGCCTCAATGTAAGCCGGTGAAACCTCTTACATAGACTCTCTTCTCCGAACACTGGAGAGCAGCCCTCCACTGGCAGCCCTGCAGCATTCTGAAGCCTTCCAGAGAGCTGGCCAATCACAAGAGAGTGGGCACATGGGGAGGGGGGTCTTAAAGAGACAGCAGCTGAAACTAAACCGGCTGAAATGAGGGTAAATAAGGAGGTTTTTATGAGCTGAAGATCATGCAAAGCTGCTCTAAATGTTTCACAGACTGACGACATGAAAGGTGAAGATGGTCTTATTGGCGATTTATATTCAATCCAGTCCTCAACCTTGGGTGTTTCATTCTTTGGCCCATTTCTTTGTGAAGACTTTTTTGCCTGAGATGAACTTAATCCTCATCATATATCTATATTCGTCTACAAGTTACATAATCCTCGATCTCCACAAAACAGCAGCTGAGCAGAGTTTGTTTTATTTGTTGTCCTGGAGCAAATCTTCCAGATTTCCTCCCGGGGCCTTTTTCTCTTTCTCTTTCTTGGAATGAGTCGTGGAGAAAAGAGGAGATGTTTGTAGTTTTAGCTTTTAAATCCATAACAGGAGAGAGGAGGAGACAGACAGGAGGAGATCTGTCAGGAGGATGAATGTCTACAGTGGGAAAGAAAACCTTTCCGTGCAGGTGTTTAAGAGGAAAAACAGTCAACTGTAGAAACTATAAACTATTTGATTTCCTCTTTTTAAGAGTCTGTTATAACTGCTGGCAGAGAATTAAAAAAATACACCAAACAGCTGGTGAACACAAGTGAGACAGTATTTCCATCATGGCGACCGCCATCAATGGGACTCCAGTATGCAGCCAGTATGTCCTCCTTCTAACTTCAGATTCTGCTCCTGAATGCTCTGGATTTGTTTGGACCAGAGAAGGTAGGCACTTTTAAGGCGACCCCCTCACA